AGCAGGGACTCGGGGAAAGTCTGTTCACCAGGGCCCCCCTTGGAGTCACCAGGAACAATGGCCACAAGCTGAGGGAGGATAGGTTTAGGTTAGATATTAGGAAGAACTACTTCACGGTAAGGGTGGCCAGAGCCTGGAATAGGCTTCCCAGAGAGGTGGTGCTCTCACCTTCCCTGGAAATCTTCAAGAGGAGACTGGACAGGCACCTGGCTGGGGTCTTATGACCCCTCCCACACCCAGTGCTCATTCCTGCCCATGGCAGGGGGTCGGACTCAATGATCTGTCTAGGTCCCTTCCCACTCATTGATTCTATGATTCTAGCCAGCCAGCACAGACCATTAGTGAGAGAGCTAAGGCTGTTTGGTGATTTTGGATAAAACCATAAACAAGTTGACAGTATGATAGTACTCCATACTATGACAGTATGATAGTACTCTACATGGCTATGAAGGAAACCTGAATTCCTGTGCTAGGCTCCATTTCTCACCCACATATCCAGCTAGTATAAGGGAACTACCAAAGGAACACACTTAATCCTTGGGTATAAGAAGGTCTTGAAATAATCCAGGGTCACATTTGTTCTCCTTGTTTTTCCAACAAAAACAATTAACATGGAAGTGGAAAAAAGAGGTTCTCAAGCTACATCATGGCTGTAGGAAAATATTTCCTAAATTTGTTAGTATGAGTATAACCTAATCCTCACCCTCATCTGTAAATCTACTGAAGACAATGGAGCCATGTTAATTTACACCATCCCAAATTCTCTGTCTCTATCTAGAGTCTAACCCTATTAGAATTACTGGGACTTTTTCCAAGTATTTCAAAGGGAATACGATTGTGCCCCTGGTATGGTTTGAGTTAAATAACATCATCTGTTTTAAACTCCAACTAAAGGAGACCTATATAACATATGCCCAAGTTCACCTCAGTATGAATGAATAATGAACAAAAAACACCAGCTTGCTCCTGTTCATGTGATGTGTACATCTGCAACTTGTTAGCAATGTACAGGCTTCAGAATGAAAGGCTCCCAGGTTGAAAGTTAAAGAGCTGTATCATTTCATTCCATTTACATGAATAATTTAGAATTTTATCTCAATTCTTTATATTGCCACAGAATACAGAAATAGAGTTGAGAGGAAGAGCAAAAGAGATCTGAGGCAAGAACTTCATCACTGCACCAGCACCTCACACCAAAAAGGTGATTTTTTCCCCTTCAGTTTTTGCACTATGGAAATCCCATCCTGAGTTGCAAACCAATGTTTTAGGGCCTATTTTAGTGCCAAGCCTTTGTGCATGGTATGAAGTTATATACACACATATAAGCATATGGTTCAAGTTCCTGTCTATGTAACCTATTATTCCATCTTGTTCATGCCTAGGTTGAAAGTCTGTTATTAAATCTGCACACAAGTTGTTTTAATGCATAAATATATGCTTTGTAGCTTCCTAAAAAAATATGTCACCCTCACCCTAGGTTCTGTTTAAATTAGCTGTAACAGTATTTTCTCCTGACCAAACCTAGTTTTCCAGGATGAGAAGCTAGGAACTTGCTTACGCTCTGTATACCAATTATGAAAGATCCTTTAAAAAGAAAAAAGAAACAAAGCAAAAAAGAAACAACTGTAAAAAAGCATTGATTTTTGAAAATGCATATTTGAAATGTGTATAACCTTGAAATTAATTTTTAAAATCCAATCAGCATTAATATCTTTTTTTTAAAAAGATTTAGAAGGAAAGCTATCCCTGTATCTTTCAAGCCTGAGGTCAGACCATTAGTCAATGCTGCTATGTAAGGTAAAAGCAATTAATTAAAATATGCATCTGCACATCTATCCTATTTTGAAAGATGAAAAAGAGAGGCCTTTCAAACAATTGCTTGATGTGTTGTTTTCAAAACCAACAATTCCTCTGCTGAATCCAAATGGGAAGCACGTTCCTGTTGTGGTTCCTTAGGGCCCACATGGATTTTAGAAGACTGGTGAGTCCTGAGAATGGAATCGCAGTTCCTCTCATGGGGGTGACAATCTCAATGCCTCCAACAATGATTAGGGGGAAACTCACTGAGGGGATTTATGTTGTGGGGGGTGAGGTGGAGAAGATTTGATAGGACCTCAAAAAGGCTAGTCCAAACACTTCCTTGATTAATTTCTAAGTCCTAGGAAAGATTTGCCATTCTATTTCATGCATTTTAAAAGAAGTATAAATGCAGAATTAATTTTAAAATACCTTTAAGATGAAGTTGGCCAAACACATCATGATTTTCTAATAAGCATACAGTAAATTACTTTATCGTCCAACCCTTTGTTAATTTTGTGGCTCTAGGTAGAACAAAAAAATATTAGACCAACTTGCTATTCAAGATGTTTATTCTTAAACTTTCAAGAAACGCTACAGTATTTTCCAGGGTCTTGCATTTTCTTCAAGGACTAAGCAACAAAAACTGTTTCATTGGCCCAGATTCATGTATTTATGCTCTTATAAAGTAAGACTGTAGATGTGGGATCCATAGAGATGTGATAACTTGTTCCAGCTGTAATTTCCCATACAATCAGGTTTATGAACTTGTCTGCTCATCATTTCAATTCCATCTGTGACTGTGCATAATGAAAGTCAAACAGATCAAATACTGACACTTCCCTTTTCTCCAAATTAAAAGCTAGCAGTCATGTTTTGTTCCCCAAGTGACAAGGGAGAAGCAATCAAAATGTGTGGAGCATAACATGGATCCAGTCCAAGCTGTTGGGGAGGGTATAGGTTCTGGAGATTCATTAATCTTCCACATTTCTTAGGTTTCTCTTCTTCCTGGATGATCTTCATGAAATGACCTATACAATAGTAATCTTAACAAAAAGAAGGTTTAATAAAAACAGGGGGAAATGGAATGAAAATAAATGATTTGCTGACAATATCCCAACGTGCTCTTCTCAGAAACTGAATTAGATAAGGCATTTCCAGCTTCGCTGTAGAGAAAAAAAGAAAGAATTTGCATGTCAGAAAAGCAAGTCCCTGTTGTGATAGTCTCATCAGTCATTCACTACTGCCACATCCATGTTCACCTCCATGCTAAGAAGATTTGCTAACCTTCTTAGCAAAGTCCCCTGGCCCAAGGACACTATACCTAATCTCTAATGCAGTTTTCTCCACTTACCTTTACACACAACCAGCTATGGACTCCTGCTTTCTTTAAGAGATGGCCAAGGGGAAATACAAAGAGCCTTAAAACTGATTAATAAATATCTTCCATTGGCTCGAAGACCTGACTTAGAAACAGTACTTCACAGAGTAGCCCCTGGCCTGGTTAGTCTTGTGTGTGGCTCTGTACATACAACTTTTATCAGCAGAACTATGCCAGATAATAGTATGATCTTTTGGTGAAATAGGTATATCCATAAAAACTTTACTTTGAACAGAGTGCCTTACACGAGTATGTCTTATTTCTGCTTCCTGACCAGAGTTAACTATATAAACACTTTATACTGAAATACCCAAGTCCACACCAGAGGTTTCTTTGTCACTTTAAATCTACTGGTATGATTAAAACAGCAACATGTTTATGTGTAGACAAACTCTTCTCTCAGTGTAGCCTGTCATTCAAACAGACAGATTCTCTTTCTACTTCCCCTACTCCCTACACTGGTGCAAAGGGTTCAGGTTTTCCATCTTGTGAAGCAGAAGGTTTGGCCCTATGAGTTTTAGAAATGCCTGACATTTATTCTGGATAGCTCTAACCTGGAATGCATTTTCATTTTTAGGGCAGAAATCACATGAAAAATCTTTTCACGTGGAAAAATGTTCTGGAAAGGTGAAGTGCTACCAATTTTTGACAGCAAGTTATGATATAAGATTGATAGTGGGTTGCCAAGAACCCTGATCACAACTTGCCGTATGAGGTGTCCTTGGATAAATCATTCAATGCCCGTCTTTAAAATTAGTACAAGAAAATGCCCATAGACACATTTATTTTAGAAGGGTTCTGTTTAATGTTTGTAAAGAATCTAAAGATTTAAAACACCATATAAGTCCTAAGTATTAATCTCAGTCTTGTAGACAAGCTGTGCATTCTCTAAATAAAAATCTTTGTAATAACATCCATCTGCATTTTGAATATAAGAAAGAAATTGTAAGACAGCCTGTCTATGACTGAAGCTTTTTCATGAAGCTAACCCTACTGTTTGGCATTCAGCCAGCTGCAGAAGCCTATGGAGGAGGAAAACAGTTCTGAAGAAAAGAATGTGCATGTTAAGCAGAGGACAGCTTTTGTGAAGGGTGAGAAAAATAAGACAAATATCCTCAACTGCCAAAGTACTCGCTGGTATGTGCAGGAATGAAGTGAAACAGAGGGGAGGAGAAAAAAACTGTAACAGGGCCCTGACACCTCCTCCTCCCACTCATGGTAGTGTTAGCCTATGTGTGCCACAGACTGAAATAAAGTTTATTTCTATCTCAAGACCAGGTCTGATTTGCATTAAGATTTCTCTGTGGAAAAGCACAAGAGGGATTTGTTTGGAGCTCCTTATGCCAACAAAGAATGTGCACGAACTTTCAGAGCTACAGCAGCGATAACGTCAGATGCCTCAAGAAGTTTGGGCATCAGCTGGTTAATGCCAGAATACATGAAGAATGCACCCAAATAATTACATTTTCTGACACAATGACAACATCCTTTTTATTCAGCTGGATTTATCCTGCTGTCAAAAGTATTTTGTATAATGCTGCTGAGATGTTCAGAACTCACTCTCTAGACCCCCTCATCATGCAGAATCATCATGTGCAGAATCATCAGAAATGCCTGCTGCCTGATGCATATCGGATGTCAGAACTAGGCCCCTGACTTCCTCTCCGCACTCATCTATGGATCCATTTCACTCAAGCTGTGCTGCAGATGCATATTGGTGCAATACTGTAACAAACCTATGGAGTTACAGCCAATATGTCCTCCTCCACTTCCTAGAGGGTTTTGTTCTCACATCATTAGTCTGCTGTGCCTATGTATCACCCTAGCGGCATCTCTCAAACACTTAAGGAACCAATAACATGAAAATTAAAAGTACAGCAAAAGACTTTCGATGATGATCCTTTCTGAGGACTTTTAGAAATTGCTCTGGTTCCTGCATTAAAGTCTTTTGCATGCTAGAGATGTCTCCAGTAATAAATCATAACTTTCCATTAGATGAAAACTTTCCTCTTAACCTAAGGGCTTGCCTCTACTACAAAATTGCCCCTAACTCATGCCCCATCCAGGCAACTAGGACTCTGCCTCCAGAAGCGTTTGTGCAATGCAGAGGTAAGTGCACATAACCTGAGCTAGACTAACTTGAGAGATGCAGTTCAAGTGTAAATAGTTCAAGTTACTTCTGCAGTGAAAACACACCCAGAGGGATCCATGGACCTTTTCCAAATTAGCCAAATTCAGCCTTGTAAATAGTGCTGAATTAGACAATCTCTCTCTCTCTCTCTCTACATACATACATACATATATACACACACACACACACACACACACACATATACATACATACATACATACATACATATATATATATATATATATATAGATAGTGATAGTTAAGGTAGCATTATGATACAACCCATACTCTCCAAATCTTGAAAGTATGAAAAGAACAACTTAAGGCAGAGCATCAAAATCATCTGGCCCCACATACCAAATGTGTGGCCTGGGGCTGGTCCATGGGCCAGGTGAATGGTGTGGGGCCACCCTTATGAGCCAAATCAGGCCCACAAGTCCCAAAGACCCTCCATTCCATATGCCAGATCCAGTGGTGTTTAACTGGCTGGTCCAAAGCAGGAACTGGATCCAGCATGTGGGGCACCCATGGAGCCCCTCCCCACCACATGCCAGATCCAGCACCCACAGTGCCTGCTCTGGCTTGTCCACAGGCCACAGGCACTGGATCAGGCAAGTTGGGGTGGGGAGGGGTGCTAGACCGACCTCAAGCAGGGATAGTACTGAGTATTGAGGGCTAGTACTGATGTGGCTCCACAGGTTGGTTCTGGCCTGTGGGCTGTATCTTTGGCACCCCCAGTTCAAGGCAAAAATCTTCAGCACACCATGCCAGCTTTGTATCACCTTTAATAGTATAATGTCCATCAAGAATCATTCATTTCTACCTTCAACACATACCAAAAAACAATACAGGGCCCAACATTATCCAATTTGCTTTTTTATCTAAAATCTGGACAACAACCTCATACTTTCTTGTACAGACATATCTGACTGTCACTGTCATTCATTTGGAAATGTGTTCCAGTTTAAAACTGATGAGACCACTGATAAGATTTTCTCTGATATAGGAGATGTAAAAAACTGTGTGTGTGTTGCAATGGCAGTGCTGCCTGTGCCCTCTGCCTCCAAGGTGGACAACTGGCAGCTGGATAGCAAGCAACATAGCTGTAGAAGGCTTGCAGAAGCTATTCCATTTGTTATGGAGCTGATACAAAAACTGAATGGATTTTTTGCAAAAAAAACCCTTCTGTTTTGAAATTTTTTGACCTATTGTAATCTGTAGCCCACCAACACATGCCATTCACTTATTCCTTGACGTAACCTTACTTATTTGATCTGGTCCACCCATATTTAGTGAGGGAATAGATGTAGAAAATTAAATAGCCTTGGGAGGAAGGAGACAGGAAAAAGGTCTATTGAGCAGGTAACTCTTAGTGGCCCACTTAGACTCCCACAGGCTCAGTTCCTACTCAAATCTCAACATTTGCCAGCTGTCATGTATAGACAAATACCCCTGCTCTAACAATCAGTGATGCAAAACAATACCCCATACACTGCAGATAGGACTGGACTCTGAAGATAATAAATAAAACTACTCCTCTAGTGCTCAGTGGCTGCATCTACACAAGACACTTACTGCACAGTAGCTCTTCACTCAGTAACCGGTGTTACCTCACAGTAGCGTCCCAGCATGTTTGCCTGGTGACGCTTACTGCACAGCAGAAATTAGGTACTGTGCAGTAAGCATCACTAAGCAACTGTGCCGGGACACTACTGTACAGGTCCTCTCAGAGGTCGAGAGGGGCCCGGGCCACTTCTATTTTTTGAGGCTCCCGGTATATTAAAAAAATATTAATTCATAGTGCACTACAGGCGGTGTGGCCCGGTAATAGGACACAAATTTAAAGTTGTATGATGAACGTCTTCTTCTTTCAATCCTGTCAGTGTATCTCTGTGTCTGTATGTATAACCTCATTTGGAGATAATATCAAAAATCTAAATTTGAGGCCTTTCGTGAATAAGAGGCCGGGGCCAAATGGCCCTCTTGCCCCCCCCCATGATAGGCCCTGCTACGGCACAGTAATGCCAGCTACTGTTCAGTCATTTAGTACTTGGTTATGCAAGTGGCTCATGTAGACGTGCCCAGTGATCATCATTTCTATTCTAGCCTTACTGGGATGTACTCAGGCCTGAAGGGTTTATGGTAGTGTAATCAGAAGATAACCAGGATGGGTGACAAATCCATAAAATGAGGTAACCACCCAATCCGGTGCAAATTTTATTTGTTTGGGTTTCATCTGTCTGCTGTCTTCCCAAGACAATAATTTATTAAAGGCATACAGACTATTATTACCTGTGCCTCTTCTGCCTAGCTAGACATGACAAAAACTACCTATTGTGCAAGCTACTCTGAGATAGTTGGTTGGATGTCTTCCCATTCCTGGTGCAGATATAATTTGCATTATTACATAAAAATGATGCAGATTACACAGGGCTATTGCATTAGTCTGTCCTAGGCCTCAGAGGTTATGACTTCATTACAGATTTAATTTGGGTTTGGGCACGAGTGTTTGAGTTTTCATACCATAAAGCCAAACTTAAGTTGATGTGCCCTCAATGGCATGAGATGTGAGGACTTTTGAGGGAACTATCCAACCCTGGTTGTCAATACTGCACTAAACAGAATCATTCTAGGAGTTATTTCAAAGAAGGAAAATGTATCCATCTTTCCCAGGCCTCTCTGCAGAAGTGTTCTTAGCTCATCAGCTTACTAAAGTAAACAACTCCCAGCTTGGCATGCTCTGGATTTCTGATCATGGCTTCTGTTCCAACTGGTGACAAGGCATGGATCCAACTCAAGAGGATGACCTATTACAGTAGCTGGCATTATTGCAACTTTCATCTTATCAACAGGAAGCAAACACAGGCACACGACAGTGAAGAGTATTTTACGAGAGGCTTGTCACCCTGAAAAGGCAGTGGTATACCTTGCTAAGAAAATCACACAGAATGCATGTAGCTATAGCAGAGTGGAGACAGCAGCATGTAGGTTTTAATAACTGTGAATACTTCCTTATGCTGATTGGAGAGTCTGGCAGTCTACTGAGGGTTGTGGGAAGGAGCAGAGGACTAGCCACACTTGAATTAACTAAGACCATAGGTACTGTATGTGTGTTTTTCCAATCATTTGCTGCTGCACCTGACTTTATTAACTTTATTTATTAAAATCCTACTCACAAGACCTCTGATTTTATATTTTGGTTCCTTCACAATTCTCAGATGGAAATTGCCTAATCCATCAAATTTGAGTAGATTAAACTCCTTGAGTTTGGTTTCCAGATTGGATGTAGTGATTTCTGTTTTCATACCCCGATTTTTTTAAGCTCCTGTCTTAACCCCCATGTCCAACATCATCACTCTTATTGAAAAATAAAGCAAAGTATTCATTTATTTTTTGATCCATACATGGATTATTCTTAAAGATTGCCTTAGCCTCATGGCATATACAGCCTATTTCTTTCCTTGTTCTCTTTTTAGTTATATGGCTGAAGAATCTTTTGTTATTTAATTTTCCATGCAAAGTCTAACTTATATTGACCTTTTTCATTTCTCACTTTATCTGTATTCTTCCTTATCTCTGATATTTAAATTTCTTTGCAGATCAAGCTCTTTTTTCACTCCTTGTATGCTCCCTGCTTATGCCTGATACCATTTTTGAGGTGGTTGTTCATCCAGGCAGGTATGAAGCCCTTCCCTATATGTTGTTTCCCTTGCTTGAGATACCAATTCAAAATGCTTTTACAACTTTGCATTTAAGAAATTCCAAGTCTTTCTCACATTCAAGCCCTTGAGCTTCTCAGTCCAGTTGACTTGACTAACTAGTTCCATTAATTTCTCAGTTTGCCTTTTTTAGAATCAGTAACGTCAGCTGCAGGCCTTCTTTTGTTTATCCTTCCATTTGATTTAAATTGAATCTAAACATGATCCCTACATTCCAGATTATTTTCTAAAACCAGCTCTTTGCTAATACCCTCACTACTTTTAAAACCAAATCTAAGAGGGGATCACTACTTTTTGATTTATCAAGTATTTGCTTAAGCAATCTGTCAGCTATCAATGCCAGGAAAAGCATGCTCTACCAATTTTTGCAGCATTTGTTCTCTGATCTGCATCTTGGAAATTAATGTCACCCATAATAACACATTTCATGGTAGCATTTATCTCTCTCATAACGGAGATCAGAGGCAGAAATCTCTGTGTCTATTCATAATCAACCCTGGAGGTCTATAGCAGACTCCATTCAATACTCCAGAGGAATCTTTGTTGCTATCTTTCCCTAAATTGATTCAAAAGACTCTGACTCAAAAGATTCAGTTTTATTTCTTCTTATTTCTTTACTACCACATCATTAATGTACACTACTCTCTCACCACCTTTCTGTGAGGTTGTCAGACTAATTTTTTGAAGGTATAGCTAGCCACAACCTTCAAGATTAGGTCTTAAGTAACAAAACAAAACAAAATCAATTATGGGGTTCTCTCAGTAGTGATCCCGACTCTCCCCTGCCACATCTTGATGTAAAAGGGTTTCTATCGGGAGGGTTGAATTTTAAACACCACTAGACAACGAGACCTAGGTTGGTTTCTCTTGTGACTCTGAACTCTCTTGTAACATGACTTAGTGATGCTGAAAATTCTGCTGTTCTTATTATTAAAACTCACAGTGCTCACTCTTTTTAATAATTATCTTTTATTGATTAAATTACTTCCTTTTGCTTGCTAGGTACCTCGGATCTCTTCCCACCTAGAGTGATGGACGTACATCTCCAAATACTAACAGACAGCTTTGTCAGCCTCAGGTAAGTACTATGTCCAGTCTTTATCCAAAACAGGAACAATGAAGGTTAACCAACTAAATAAGTTGAAGCCCTTCTGGGCAGTGGTTGCTCAATCCACCCCTCTCTTAGGAATATGCAAATCAGGCAAAGGGTGTTCCTTCCCCCTTTTAACCTGACAAACTGCATTGGAGGGTCTGTCTCTAGAATCTGTAGTTCTCTGTAGACACCACCTCAACTTGCCCTTTAAACTATAGAAACAACAAGGAAAAGTTTTTTACTCATTTCCGAAGGGGCTCAACCGAATTCTCCTGACTAGCTCTCACTCTCTTTGAAGTTGTCCCAGATCCAGCACCACATTCCCTGTGACCCTTCTTCAGCCGATGTCTCCCAGCTTAGAATAATTCTTCTGAGACTCTCAGCCAGCTGGCTGCTGGCTCAGCACAGCCACAGCCATCCCACCTGTCTTCCTGGGTTCCTCGACATGCAGCATCACTCTCCTTATCTTCATCTGGGTCCTTCTCCATATCTTCCTCTTTCCGGGGCTGCTCTAGCTTTACGGAGCAGCAGCTCTGGAATCACGGCTCCCAGGGAGCTCTCTCTTCTTTCACCGGCTGTTGTTGGCTCTTGGGCAATATTGGCACTGTCTTCTCCTCCTCCCTACACTTTCCCTTTATTTCTCTTTCCTGAACACTGCATACTCTCCAACACCTGTGTTCTAGTCACAATTTATTCCATGATACTTCTTGTACCTCTATAATACACTGTATTGCTAGTTCCTGCATTTTGTTATTTTGATTTTTTTACATTCTTGTAAAAACTTTTAGCTGATTCCTGCTGACTATATTCAGTTCCCCAACAAGATTTGGCACTGTCCCTTTCCTAACTGTATCACTTCCCCAACTATGGCTGTCATCAGTAGGGACCTACTTAAATTGCAGTTTCACAAAAATGGCAGTTTCTGAAATAACCATGAAAAAATGGTATTAACCATGATTTCCCAGGAAATCAACCAAAAAAGAAACATAATAAAAATAAAATGCTGTCTCTCCAGTGGGAGCCAGCTGTCCTTGCTGCCACTGCAGCCCAGCCTCGCAGCCTGTCCAAGAGGAATTGTGCTGGCTAGTGGGGTGACACGAAAAGCAGCAGTCAAGACAGCAGCTGGTCCCTCATGCCTCTCCACCAATCAATGCTGAGGGCAACCAGCAATCAAGATGGCAGTCACCCCTCATCCCTGCTCTACCCAGGGCTTCTCCACCAATCAGTGCTAAGGGATGGGGCCTTTCTGCCAATCAGTGCTGAGAGGCGAGACTGCCACAAAATTACTCTGAAATTGGCTCTTTGCACCTTGTCCAAGCCGCGAAAATTGCTTTCTCTCACTGCAAGTTAGGTAGGTCCCTACTCATCAGTATTAGTACTTTAGTACTCATATTGCTGTCCATCCTCCTAAAGATATTCCTTTATCTACAGCTGTATCCTCATGTGCTTGGTTTTCCTCTTCCTGTGTACTAAACTAGAAGTTTTTAAAGTTGTATCCAAACTGCAAACCAGGCTAAGTAAAAACCAGAGTTACCAAGCAAAGTAAAAACATCGCATGCACATATAACTCTACTCCACTCCACTCCCTAGTTCTTTTCAATCCAGTTACCCTGGATTTAGAGCATCAGCCATCTTGAGTTGAAAGTATCTGTAAATGTAGGCTATGAAGCACCTGATTAAGTAGGCTAGAACCTATGAAAACTCATGCCTCTCTGAACAAGTTAGTCTATAAGGCACCACACTGCCCTGCCTTCTGCCTAACTTCAGGTTAACATGACTACTTCCCTATAAAAGGTGTCTAAGAAAGCAAAAACAAATGATCAATTGGCAAAAGATAAAAAAAATTCTGCGTTCGTCAGACAAGCAAGTGGAAACTGGAATTAAACTGAACACCTTAGCTTGCCTTCTTTTGTTAGTGTGAAGTCAAAAACAGAAAGGTATGTATGGAAATGAGAGACATAATTAGTTGTGTTAGTCTGAAGTCAAGTAGAAGGCAGGGTAAGTTTGCACCTCAGAGACTAACCACAGTAGATATATATAGTGCTTTCTTTTGGGGTTTCTTTTTTCAGCTTTCAGTTTATTAAGCTCTGGTCTGATTACTGGTATAAACTTACAAACTCACCACATATCTGGTCTGCAAATATGCTTGCAAGTATCATGCTAAAACTGTAAATTTACAGTGGATAGACTGAAGTCTTGATGTGTCATCTTTGAATATAATTATTGTAGTATTAATTGTCTTACTGTAGTGCTGAGGAATCCTAGTTACGGACCCCAACTCCACTGTAGCATATGCTGCATAATCACAGAAAGTAAACTCCACCAGGGTTTACAATCTAGGTATAAGACAGGAGACAAGAGATGAGTGCAGACAGAAGGGGCAGTCCAAGAAAACAATGAAACAGTAATGGTCAGCAAAATCGTTAGCGCTTACTATGGCTACAGATTTAAATGTCTCTCCTGAACAGTAAAAAACAGTCAAAATGAGTGCTAGAGAAAAGGTCTGAGAGAGAGACTGGCAGATCCTCAGGGAGATTACTCCAACAGGCCAGAGATTTGTGCTGAGCAGTGCATGCTGCCTTGGAAAAAGTCAACCTTAAACATTCACCCACCGCCACTACCCGGAAAGCTGGGCACCCATCAAGGTGGAGAGCCAACCCCCCGCCCCAGTCAGACCCCCAGGGAATGCGTCAGGCCAATGGAACCCTTGAGCTTGCACATTCCCAAGGGCTCGATGTCACAATGGAGTAGGGAGGAGCAAGCAGCATCCCCAGCAACCAGCCAGGGCTTGACTCTTGTTCTGTCAGCTGGAGACAGAGCCCCACATCACTGTGAGTGAGCCTCTTTGGATAACCAGGGGCCAAAGCAAGGGTTTGCACCATGCCTTTGAAGACCCACAGTCCCTCCCAGCAAGCAGGGTTTTCGGGGAAGAGACTGGTATTCACAGGTAACTGATGGCACTCAGAGCCCCTGGTATTGGAGGCCAGAGCAGCATCGCAGCCCCTACCTGGCCAACACCACTGGAGCCTCCTTCTTCAGCATCCTAGACCTGCAAGAACTTTACTCCCCATTACACATATGCATTATTCAGAAGCAGTGTGGGTAGAAGAGTAGCAAGACACTGGCTTTGCTTTTGAGGCTGCAGCAGCTTCAGTCTCAACTGCTTTTCCTATCTGGCTTTCTTCTCCCTGCTTTCTCTCCCCCCACCCCCCTTGTTTAAACTGAGCAAGGCGATTTCTCCATGTTGCATCCACAGGTATTTAGTTCTTATGCCCCAGAGGGACCCCTAGCACACAGAGGCAGTAACATGAACTTGACACTTTTTCCAGTGGGAAGCCTTTGTGCTCTGCTCAGCAGAGCTCATTCCTTATTTAGAAAGTGTGGCCTGCATCTAGGTACAAAACAAAGGAACTTTATCAGCCTCTGAGAAGAGAGAAGCACGGTATCTGAAGGCCTGTAGGAAAATCTCCAGCTGATAGCAAACTGGGATTTCTCAGCCTTACAGTTTAATAGCTGTTACAAAGCAGTATTCTTACTTGGAAGACATTTGAATTTCAAATGTTGGGGGGAGGGGGAGCAGTACAAAGAACAAGCTTAGGAATTAACCTGAGGGACTGAAAATAAATATCGGTGTATTTAAAGTTTGAAAAGTGTCTCTCTTAAGAGAGCCATTAAAAAAAAAACAACCAAAAAACAAAATGTATAGCCTTTATGTTAAATCACACTAGTAACAACAGGTGAAATTTGGATTACGCCAAGTTAAAGATTATCTGACAGATTTCAGGGTTCTTTTATCTTACAGTAGTTGAATAACAATTCACTGTAAAAATCACTTAAATCCTCTCTTTCATCCTCAAAGGAAATAGGAAATAAAAAAAAAAGTCAGTTGTAGATATTATTTTATAATTAAAGTATGCACACTTCATAGATTCATAGATTAAGGGTCGGAAGGGACCTAGTAGATCTTCTAGCCCGACCCCCCGCCAGGGCGGGAGAACAACAAAAAACCCCAAAAAGAGAAATGGGACTCAAACGAGTCCAGCCAGGTAGGCATCCAGCCTCTTCTTAAAGACCCCCAGGGTAGGGGCCAGCACCACTTCCCTTGGAAGTTGGTTCCAGCTCCTAGCCGCCCTAACCGTGAAGCAGTTTTTGCGGATGTCCAATCTATACCTCCTCTCCATCAACTTGTGCCCATTACTCCTTGTTATGCCAGCGGGCGCTAGGGGAAACAGCGTCTCCCCCAAACCCTTCTGGTCCCCCCTAGTGAGTCTATAGACGGTCACCAGGTCCCCCCTCAGCCTTCTCTTGTGGAGGCTGAATAGGTTCAGGTCCCGCAGTCTCTCACTGTAGGGTCTGCCCTGTTGTCCCCGGATCATGCGGGTGGCCCTCCTCTGGACCCTCTCCATGTTGTCCACATCCCTCTTGAAATGGGGCGCACAGAACTGGACACAATACTCCAGCTGTGGCCTGACCAGCGTCGCGTAGAGGGGGAGGATCACCTCCTTGGCTCTACTCGAGATGCACCTGTGGATGCACGACAAGGTCCGGTTAGCCCTGCCAACCATGACCTCGCATTGTCGGCCCATGTTCATCTTGGAGTCAATAATGACTCCAAGATCTCTTTCTGCCTCCGTGCTCTCAAGTAGGGAGTTCCCCATTGTGTAAGTGTGCTGCTGGTTCCTACTGCCCAAGTGCAGCACCCTGCACTTGTCCGTGTTAAAACGCATCCTGTTCCTGTTAGCCCACCCCTGTAACCTATCCAGATCCCTCTGCAATCTCTCACTCCCTGCTAGCGTGCTCACCTCCCCCCAGATTTTGGTGTCATCAGCGAATTTAATTCATACTGAATACATTAGGCTTTCATCTGTATATCATATGCAAATGTAGCTGTGACACTGTGGTATTGTCCCAGAAAGAAGCTGTAAGTAAAATTATTGCCTTTCATTCCAAATTTGTGGACATTAACAGCTACTGAAATTAGCATATCAGCACATCTAGAGCCATACAGGGGCAGCTGCCAAGCTGACCGTTTCAAGGTAGTACACCTGCACATTTCTGTAGAGGACTTGAAACTAAACAAACAGTAACAGGACTTTATTGAACAGCCTAGCAAAGTATTTTGAAAAGTGCTTTTTTTGCACATTGTTATTTTTTCTACAGAAGTGCTGTTAAAGTAAGCTTGTTTTCACCTAACAATCTCTCTGGGCCTCATTTGCCTCCTAAAAAATATCTTTGGGAAGTGGACAAGTTCTGCTGAAATGTCCACCAAGTTTATGATGTCATTTTCTCTAAATATTCCAATGGATATTTCACTTACAAACACAAAGAAGAGGCTGGCTGGCTTCATACCACCATGAATCTCTAGACATCAGAAGCTCCTCGGTTCTTTACAGCTCTGAGCACATCTTTTAACAGCATCTGATGAAGTGAGCTCCAGCTTATGAAAGATTATAATATATACACAACTAAATTATACTATATACATAATTCATCACTATTCTTTGCCTGCTCCATGATGGTGTATGACTGTATATGGTATACAACAATAACAGATCTTTCACAGATCCCTTTGAAATTAAGATGGGAGTTAAGCAAGGCTGCATCTTCACTCCAGGACTCTGCTCAATATTCTTTACTGTGATGCTACATCTGACCACCCGCAAGCTTCCAGCTGGAGTGGAGCTAAGCTATTTAACCTCAGCTAACTCCAGTGGCGATGCATAGCGGGTGCACGTGCACCCCCTGAGAGCTCTGATGCACCCCCTGTCAGCCAGTGTTCCCGGGCAGGGAGGGCAGGCAAGAGCACTGGTGCCCCCCTTGAGAGCTCTGGCCAGGGCGTGGAGGCACCAGGAAGTGCTAGTGGCACACCGCTGTCACTTGCAGGTTGGCAGGATTGGTCACAGGGACTTCCCCCCGGTCAGCAGGATCAGCCATGAAGGGACTCCCCTCCAGTCGCTGACTGGATCGCCCCCCAGTCGCTGACTGTCCACTGGAGGGGAAGTGCCCACCCTGACTCAGGAGACACCCGTCACCCATGGCTAACTCCACACCAAAACCAAGACCATCAGACCTTAGTCACTGAGCTCCAATACACTGATGATTTTATAGTGTGTGCTGACTAGGAAGCAGACCTTCAAGCAATCAATGTCTTTGCTGAGGCATACAAGAAAATGGGACTGATGCTTAACATTCAGAAGATGAAGGTCCTCCATCAACAAGCTCTTCATGAGCAGTCTTGAGCTCTAGTCATTTAGATTCATAGTGAGACTCTGGAGAACACTGAGCATTTCCCGTACATCTGAAGTCATCTCTCACAGAAGCCTGATATCAATAAAGAAATCAGATATGGATGAACAAATCCAACATCACCTCAAGTGTGCAGGTGCAGCCTTCAGATGCCTGAGGAAATGGGTGTTCAAAGATTGCAACACCAGATCAGAAACCAAGCTCATGGTTTATCAAGCCATTGTGATCCCCGCCTTACTGTACAGAGCTGAGTTGTGCACAACATACCGGAGACACCTCAAGTTGTTGGAGAGGTGCCATCAGCGCCACCTGGAAAAGAACCTTCAAATCTAGTGGGAAGATAGATGCATCAACATGAACATGAGGTGATGATTATCCAATATCAATTTCATTGGGCTAGCCCTGTGTCAGGGGTAGGTGCTGTAAGGCCTTGGCCCCCCTCTGACCTTGTGTCTTCCCTGCAAAAGGACACCAGGATATGGAAACACTATCCTATCCCCCAGCTGTGCTCTGATATTGTTTTCTCACCTGCCATGATTTTGATCTCACTTCTACTGGGGACCTAGATCCTCTGGGTGATACCTCAATGCCTATTGGAGGAATTTATTCATGGGGCTCCTCCCCTACACCCCATCCTTACTACACCCCAATGTTAGTAGACGTGTTTGATCGCATAAGCAGGCTCCTTGTGTTGCCCTGTGGGGTCAGGCCAACTCTCAGGATCTCAATATTGTGCTGTTAGACAGGAGGGTGTAACACAATTGGACATATACAAAACACACAAATCATTCAGGTACACACACACACACACACGCAGCTCAGGCACATACACATCCAAACCAGCCTAGGCACATGCATACCTATCACCAATTCAAGCACATACACGGAGGCAGACAGCTGAGATATTGGGGGGAGGGGGGCAGATAAGTGGTGGCAAGGAGGAGACAGCCAGGAAAGAAACTGAGGCAGAAATCTGGTTGCTCAGGGGAAAAGGAAAAGGCAATGGGGATAAGACAGTGGCAAAGAAACAGGGGGCTTGGAGGCAGAGAGGAGCTCAGGACAGGTGTTGGAGGTGGTGGTGACCCAGAAGCAGGAGAGGGAGAAATGAAAACAGAAGTTAGAGGGGCAAGGAGAAGAGACCGGAGCAGGGCCAAACCATAGTAAAGCAAAACCCAATTTAGGGGTTCAAATAACTGTTTTATTACACAGACAACATACTACACAGCCCCATGAAGTTATTGGTTCACACACACACACACACACACACACACACACACAAGCACTCGCAATGGCAGCAGGAGAAAGAGACTCAGTGGAAGGGTTGGAGTCCAGGTAGGGAAGAGAAGCAGAGTCCAAGTCCTTGGTTGAAGAGGGGGTTGGGGGTGATAGCTACCTATCCAGGCTGGAAAGGGGTCTTTGTCCAGTAGGTGTTGTCGAGAAGGGGGGTCACCGGCAGGACCTCTGGGTGGATAGCTGGTATGCAATGGTGCTGGTCCAGATGGAGAGGGTGTACCACTGGGTCTGTCTTCACTGCCCCTTTTTATAGGGGCAAACCTTGTGTGACCCTAGTGACAGGAGGCATGCCCAGGCAAGGGTTAGCCCCTGGCATACTGAGAATGTGTGCTCCATG